CAGAAAAAGAAGAAGAAGAATGGCACAATCTTGACCTTTTTCAAGCATCGCTCGCCCTCGCCGCCTCCAAAGAAACGAGCGCCTTCTCCACCGCATGAGGCTGTACCAGAGGATAATCCAGACATTGCTGTACGTGTTGGACGCGTCCGTCGCGTCGTGACGCGCCGCATTGCACCGCAATCGCGCATAAATACTCCACCCAGACACCGCTAATGCCATGCGCTATAGTTCATTGTAATGTTTCGGTCGCGCTTCAACGAAGCCTTTCCTCGCGGTTCGCCTCACGTAGGGCCCCAAGACATCGAACAGGGTGTCGCGGAAGAGACGCCGTCCGCCGATGTCGAAGGCTTACTATGCGCCCTGCTCGGGCTCGTCCTCAATCGCAAGAAACCTGTCGAGTCAGTCCGACCCCTTTGCTCTTGACGAATACATATCCCCCGATCGCATAGGCCTTACAGATCGGATGGCATAGTGCACATGCTGACAAGTGGTGTGTTTTACAGGAAGGGTCATTACGGTCGCGCCCTCGAAGAGGCCATCCAAACCCAAAAATCGCAATGGCCCACCAGATGGACTGGCAACCCCATCAGTGGCGGTCGTAACTTTAACACAATGACGGCAGTGGAACGTGTAAGTGGTCGTCTATCAGAATGCTGCTAGATACTAACTGTCGCCCAGATCACCCTCCTCCACTCCCTCTGCCTCTGGAGCCTCAACCAGAATGAGCAAGTCAAGGTCATGATCAATACCGCATACAAGTCTCGCACTACCAAGGACAAACAAGATACCAACATTCCGTTGTCGGTACAAGCATGGGGTCGCGATGGTGATAAGCGCCGGTACTACCTGGTCGAAGGGCAGAATGACACCCACTTTCGCATCTACCGCGAGAGCGATCCCAAACTCAAGAACGTACAGTGGATCAGTGTCGCTGGCTCAATCGATGAGTTAAGAGCGCTTGCGACGAAGCTGGAGGAAGTGGACGGACACAAAGAGGCCAAGGCACTCGGCGAGCGTATGCTCAACGCTGTGCCACGATTCGAAGCTTCAGAAAACGTATGTCCTCGCTCAGTCTATACATCGTCTTATGCTAATGACCATGCAGAAACGCAAGCGACGAGAGTACACCCGTCAGCGCAAAGACGCTTTCACGCGCCCAGAACTCGGTTTCTCACTATACGAAGGCCGCACCCGCGGCAAGCGCCAACGATACACATTTGACGAAGAGGATGATTTTGACTCGGACAGTACATCTGTACGTCGGTCAGGGCGGCAATCAGGCCGCGACACACCCGCTGCGCCTTCTGGTCCTACTGTCACCGCCAGCGGCCGACAGGTCCGGTCTCGAGCAACAGGTTTATACGGTGAGACACTACTCAGTGGACAAGTCACCGATCACCCATCGCCTGCAACTGGCGATTACGTACGGTCTGATGTGTCGGAGGAACCACAGTCAGGCCCTGGCCGATCAACCCGCGCCGCCAACAGGGGTACCGCTAACGGCCGCTCACTGAACCGGACAGTAGATTCCGAAGATGAGGAGGATGCTACATCTTGGGATGGTGGAGATGATGACGAGGAAGAGCCAGATCAGATGGAGCTCGACGATGATGAAGATGACGCGGCGGAGGATTCGTCAGATGAAGAGGAGGAACCACACAGCCTCATGGTCACTCTGCGTTACCGGAAAGGCGCAACTGATGGCTCTGCTGCTCCCGACCAAGACGCACCCATGGCAAACGGCGTGGACCACGATGCCACTGCTGCGACACTAGGCGACACAGGCGCACCACAGCAGCCCGAGATTGCGCCTGCTCCAGAAACCTCAGCTCCCACATCCGAGCCCAGCTCCACCACGAACGGAATCTCCCAACCTGTTATCCCCGTCGCAAACCAACAGCTTCCTACCGGCAACCCAGAAGCGCTCCCCAAACTCGACGGCTTCTTCTCCGCCCCGACACCACCCTACAGCGCCCCCGAGGAAGCACCAAAACATCAGACTCCCGTCGACGTCCCTACCAACTCGTACGAAGCACCTCCACCACCGCAACATCCTACACCCACTCCTACCGCCAGCTGGCAATAGATCTGCCTGCGCACCTAATAAACCCATTTTTCATGCATACTACACATCATCTCCCAAGCCCCATGTGCGGCTGTCTTGGTTCAGTGCTGTTGCTTTTTCTTTTCCTGTCATAGCTAGAGAAAGACAGATACCCATGGCGTTTTCTCTTCCTCTCTTTCCCGGGCCAGGAGATGGTAGGATGGAGGTATTGTCTCTCAGATTAGCGTTGTGTTAAGAGGATGTATGGGCGTGGTCTGTCTACATATAGCATAGGTATCGCTTATGACTGGTAGACAATGGCACTTTTACATGAGAGAATGAGAGCCTAAATGCCTGGGATACGAATACTCTATGTGCACTGAGGAGTGTATGGGAAGGAAGTTTAATAGATGCAACTTGTGTTGTCATTTTGAGCAGTTGTGCGATTCCATTGTGATGCGTCCTGTGAACCAGGTATACGCAGAATATGGTGAGCTTCATATCTAGCGAAGCTCACCATACTCTGCCTATACCTGGGCATACGTCTTGTTTAAGGTACATCGGGTTCATACTCGATCGAATAAATAGGGACATGATGCAAGTAAAGCAAGACCTATGTTCCAAGCACGCTTTCGCTCCACAACGCCGCTGCTAGTGGTATTATATACATTCAGTCATGTCATCGTACAAATATCTATCCACATCACCTCGGTAAAGCGCCCGGTATGGCTCCCGCAATGCCCGTCGTAGTCCGACTCTGCAGTTTCGGTCTACCAGACCCCTTGGGCCTCTCTCTCTGCTCGCCCCGCCACCGCATACCGTCTTCCCGGGTATTTCTACTCTGGCTACGGGAGTCTGTTGCACTGGGTTTCCTAACCCCAGCTCTGATTTCTGCTTCGCGCATCTTCTGGCCTTCTGCTTCTATGCGCTCTTCTAGGGTGGCGTTTTCAGCGATGGGGCTGGGGATGAAGGATGTTGAGCCAGGGGCTGTGCCGTTTCCTTCCATAACAGCGATTTCGTCGTCCTCATCCTCTTCGTTCTCGCCGGCTGCTGCGTCGGCGTCTTCTGTGGCTCCGCCTCGCGTGTTGTGTTTGCGGGGCCAGAGTGAGGGGAGCACGATTTGTTGGAAGCGGGGTTCTACGGCTCGTTCGTCGAACCAGGCGTGTACGCGAGATTCGATGAGCTGGGCGATTTTGGGTACGTCTTGGAGTCGTGATCGCGAACCGACTAGGGAACGCACGGAGAGGTCGAGGCGGTAGTCGTCTAGGAAGGTAAAGGCTAATGTGGTGGGTCGGTGTGGTGGTGCGCCTGATGAGGATGTTGGGCGGTTTGGCGAGGAACTTCGGTGCGTATTTGATGTTGGCGATGGCATGGGCGCGGTGGTTGGTGGAGGCGAGGAGGAGGGTATGAAGGACACGGCGAGGGTTCCTGAGAATCGTACAATGCTCACAGCGAGCGCGACTGGTAAGACTGCGGACATGGGTTTGGGCCAGTTCAGGTTCAGTGTCGTCTCTATGCCGATGGTAATGACATCGCTCAGATCAACATCCATGCGCGCTTGCAGTCTCTCCTTCTCATCCGTATTGCCCGGTCCGTACCAGAATCCGTCTTCTGCTGGCATGACTCTGCAGTTGCTGAAGATGGGGAACTCATCACCCAATGCTATCTCCGTCACCCTGATCTCGCCAATCCAGTCCGGCTTGCTGCCCGTGTTCAAGACCTCGGTGAGCGAAGTAAGGATCGCGTCGTCTTGTCTTGCATCGGCTCTCAGCTGTGCGATTGTTTGTGCAATGAGCACATTAAACCAATCCAAGCTCTCTGGCTGGTGTCCCTTTACGTTGTAGTATGTCTTCGCTAGGATAGTCGTTATGCTTGGCCCTCCCCTGCTCTCCTCGCCTTTTCGTATTATGCTTCTCGATGGTTTGTGGCGTAAAGAGAGAGATGTCGAGTTTGCGCGCGTTCTCAATTGTTTATACGACTGTTGGTGGGCCAAGGTTCGAGCTCGGCGGAGGGAGTTGAGATGCAATGCGCGGTCGTCGGCGGACGGTGGCTCTCCGAAGATGAAGAACTTTATGAAACAGAACATCAAAATCGCAATCGAAAGCTGTCCAAGTAAGAACCCTTGTGTAAAAGAGAGTCTGTAGCAAGTTAGCGGGGTCTCTGCATAGGATGGGCAACTGTACGATGACGAGCCGCCCTGTGTGACGGGCAGCGCCACGGGGGTGGGCACTGCTTTGACCATAGTCGCGACTGGATACTTGCTACCGTGTTGACAATTGCATGTTGTGTGTGGATTGGTGATTTCGAGCAGAGGCTGAAAGACGTAATTGTGCATCGGAACCTTGGAAGGATGCCGACCTAGCCATATCGATAAGCCTCCTAATCACTCCACGCGCATCTCCGCAGCCCCGAGGTCTCCCCAGACGCAGACCCGCGACAAGGCACGACTCTACCTAGGATGCCCCTTCTCTCCAAGGTCGTCACCTTCAGGACCCCCACCAACCGCGCCGCTGCCATCAAGGCGAATAGAGTCATCCGATCCATCAAGAGCAGATACCGCGCCCAGGCCTTCCTGTTCCTCGCATACCACTTCTTCCTCACGTCGCCTATGCACCTCGACATATTTATCATGTTCTTCATTCTCGTCAGCAACTTCATGAACCGGCAACAGGCTTTTCCCAGCCAATTGGTCATCGAGGGACTCCGCTTTCTGATCGACGAGAGGAGGTTCATTATGCCTTGAGTGTTGGTTGGTCATATCAAGCCCACTTCCTACGCGACACGAGAATACTCTGAATTACTCGCATATACATATCAAGTGCGCGACGTAGCTTCGTTGCCCCTTCACCTGAACCAGACGGAGATAGCGGCAGTTGCAAGTCCGATTGGTTGCCAAGCTCCCCACCTTCTGGGCCAGTTCAAGATCGCATACCATTGTAGCGTCTTCAACCTCCTTATGGATTTCGATACCCAAAGTCAAAGCCTCTCGCCAGGCGCTGCAATTCATAACCCCAATCTCATCCTCCCAGCAACTTGCGACCCGCCATCCGAGCACAATCCGCCCAAGCGAGCAGTATGGATAGTAAGTTGACCAGCATGTTGCATGGTTCTCGATAGCTAACACCTTCCTGTAGGTCTTCGGAGCGACCGGCCACATGGGACGATCCCTCGTTCGAGCGATACTAGCGCACGGTGACCAATGCACCGCGGTGGGATGGACCGAAGAGAACACACCTGAACAGATGGATAAGTGGCAGAACAGAAACTGTTTGGGCTTGCTATGCGACGTGCGAGTGCGCGAGACAGTGGATCAGGTCATCAGGAAGAGCATCGAATACTGGGGTCAGGTGGATGTCATAGCGAACAGCACCGGCTACGGCGTCATAGCAGCATGCGAGGATCAGGACGAGTACGACCTGCGCAATCAATTCACCACAAATTTCCTCGGAACCCTCTACATCTTGCAACTGTCACTTCCCTACTTCCGCTCCCAAAACTCCGGTCGATACCTCATATTCTCATCCACGGCTGGAGCCCTGGGCGTGCCTGGCCTCGGCCCGTACTGTGCGACCAAGTACGCTGTGGAAGGGCTCATAGAGTCGATGTTGTACGAAGTCGATATATTCAATATCAAAGCCACACTTGTCGAGCCTGGGCATGTTCGGTTGGACGAACCAGATGACAACATATTACCACCCAGCTATACTTCGGTGCCCGTTCCGGGAGCAGGTCCTCCGAAGCCGAAACGTTACGGCCATTTCTTCGTGAAACCGAACCCAAGCGAGCCCTATGCGGGACTGACAAGTCCGGCGCAACACGCGCGACGGATGGTACAGTGGCTGAACGACAGACAACCGGTGAGCGCTGTAAAGAGCGCAGAGCTGGTGTGGCAACTGGGACATTGCAGCTATCCTCCGTTGCGATTGATTCTGGGGAGCTACGCCGTGGAGAGCATCCGAGACCGTCTGAAGAGCATTACAGAAGAGGTATGCATTCTTCTTCTTCTTCTTCTTCTTCTTCTTCTTCTTCTTCTTCTTCTCTTCTTCTTCTTCTTCTTCTTCTTCTTCTTCTTCTTCTTCTTCTTCTTCTTCTTCTTCTCTTCTTCTTCTTCTTCTTCTTCTTCTTCTTCTTCTTCTTCTTCTTCTTCTTCTTCTTCTTCTTCTTCTTCTTCTTCTTCTTCTTCTTCTTCTTCTTCTTCTTCTTCTTCTTCTTCTTCTTCTTCTTCTTCTTCTTCTGCTGCTGCGCCTAGCATATTAACTCTTTGCAGATCGAGGACTGGAAGCATCTTTCATTCCCTGTTTCTATGCCTCCGGAAGAAGAGGACGGAAAGGACAATCTCAAAGAGGAGCAGGAGCAAGACGATGAACAAATGCAGGACTGAAGAGGAACTTCCGCTATTGGTACAACGAACGCGTGGATTCCCCATGCCTGTACCCGCTTATACAGATACCACAACTTCGAATCATATCGCTTAAACAGAACGCGGCAAACGACATATCGGTTTTTTGAACGTTTACAGTAATACGATGTGGTTATTCTTTCGATGGACATATCGAAATGAACGAGAGCCAGACCTTTCTCGGTTTACAGCCATCGCAGTTGGGTCAGCTCGCTTCGCATGCTGTGCCACCTTGATCTATCTGTATAATAGAATTTAGAAACACGCGATGCGAACTTGTTTGCTGCTTCCTTTGTTGCACAAGGTTTTCTTGTTGCTTACTTACCGTGCTTTCTAGATTCATTTATTACTACATCTCGTTTCTTCCACCATTTGGAATCTTCTAATTCCGCGCTAGACTGCTGTTATGGACAACGAAATGCGACCGGCCCGGCAGTCCCCGACTTTCGCTCCCAAATCTCCTGGGACTGATCAAGATAGCTGGAAGACCGCTCCAGGCTCACCGAGAGAAGACTTCAGATTCAATATTGACGCTATTACTGAGGAATGTGGAACATTTTCCAGTGATATCAAGAGGTCCAGTAGGCAGCCACACGCACTGAGGCGGGAGTATAACGAAAAGTTTGACTATGCCGAACATAATCCAGATATAGACGGCATCGACTGGAGACCTCGCTTCAAAAATCAGTTTCCATGGATCGGTTTTGCAGGCCTCATGGTTATCTTTGTGGCAACGGCTACGGCTGCAGTCATTCTGGTGTCCTCGCACAAGAAGCGCGTCAAAGGCTGGCCGTTTACGAGGTAAGTTTGACAAATACACCTCAGATCGGGTCGCGACTGATGGAACAGTTTTCCTGCTCAGCCCAACGTCTTACTCAACATTGCAAACCAGATCCAGAATCTGGGTTTGATCACTTTAGTCAGCCATGGACTGGCTATCGCATGGTGGAGAACAGCCTTGCGCGGTAGCTCTCTCCGCGTGTTACATAAGAATCATGTATATTCGTACAGCTTCTACGCGATTGTTACCTCCGGCAGATACTTCAATCTGATCGCCCTCGCCGCACTTATGACCAAATTTGCTGTTGTGGATAGTACTCTCGTCCAGAAAGCGACAAGGACGATTGTGACGCAGCAAAAGGAGTACGCCAATTCCACCATGACTGGATGGATTGAGAGAGATTGGCCCGCGAATTTTGGCGGGATTCCGGGGGCAGATGGTCGTATCAAGACGGTCGATACGACCTGGCCAGCGTCTTGGATGCATATAACGGCAAGCTCGCGGATAGCAAGGTGCACGATCCCCTCAATAACACGGTATCTTTCTTCGATTGTCCCTATAGACAGAAATGCAGTGGTGCTATCGAAGGCTTGGGCTTTGCGTTCAACTGCACCACCGGGTACGAAAAGGTTGATTATGGGCTACGGCAGTGGGAGGGATCTGAATGTTTCGGCACATCTTACTCGTTGTGGGATGTCAAGTTTGGACCATCATGGACAAACGAAACTAAGCCATACGCCAGCACCGATCTTAAGATGCAATATGTCGACAGCCAAGCTGGGAAGGACGATCGTTCCTGCCCAGGCACTATGAATATTCGCACATGCGAGATCAGACCCGCAATCGTTCGATACCCCGTTACTGTCATGTTACCAAGAAAAGAAGAACTAGACGGCAGAAATATCGTCACACATATCAAGTTCTTCAATGACGATCGGTCGTGGAGAGTCGTTACTAACCTGAACAATATCACCCAAATCGACGACTTGAAGGTACTAAATACCGCCAACCTCAACGAGTACTTCAACGAGACCTCCATTGTCGGAGCCCTGGCCTACATCAAAGGCGCCCCCAAGACCGACAGAGACAAATGCAAAGCCCTCGGCAAGGCCAGCCAAAACATACATCCGTCACCAGCATCGTAGAAGACTACCTAACCTCCTTTGTCTACGTCGGCGGCGCGCTCGCGGCAACTTTCATCACCGTTATGCTCGTCCTACCCGTCTACTGGGGCTTCTGGCAACTCGGCCGTAAAGTCACCTTGGGTCCACTCGAAATCTCACAAGCCTTTGGTGCGCCAATCATCGCGCCTGACAAGATGAAAGCGTATCACGGTGACCTCGATCAGGTGTTTGAGGACGTTGGGGATAGGAGAGTGCAGTATGGGCAGCTCAAAGATGCGCCGCCGGGGCAAATGGGACTTGCGGAGCCGGAGAGGGTGGTGGTGCCGAAGGCTAGTCATCGGTGGCGGGTTAGTGGGCAAAGGGAGAATAGGAGGATTGGACTTGGTGCAGTCTTTGGAGGTGCAGTTGCTGCTACTATGTCGGGGAATCCGAGGGATTGAGTGTGAATTAACGATATGTTGTGGGTGATACGGGTACGATGCAAGGGTGAGTTTGTGTAGTCGTCCGGAGCGCAGTACGTGGTAATCGACGGATAGCAACTTATTGTATATTACAGAAAGGCGAATGCAGTAGGATAATAGTGCAAGCGCAAAAAGAGTACCCCCAACTTCACACTTTCCAGGTCCTTGTCATCTCGTCTGCCACGCTTCGCATCCCGCTGCTGGTACGGGAGAGCCGGCGCTAGCCAAGTTGCGGCCACGCTGCAGTCACGTATGCTCACAACTACCAGCTCAAAAATATAATGTATCAACCACAACGTTGCCAGGACGTGTAGGATGGCAAAAAGAATAGAGTGAAATGCATCGGCCGGGAATCGAACCCGGGGCTAGCCGAAACTGTCCTGTGAAGGATGGCAACGGCTAATTTTACCACTAAACCACCGATGCTTGAATCATTGAGATGGATGATTTGATGGAAATACTACACAATTAATCGTTAATATACTACTTGGCAATAATGGAAAGACGGCGAGCTGTGCAAAACATGGGCTGTGTGTGGGTCAACATTCTGGGTGTGGGTTAGCTTGATGCACGAGTCGAGGACCATCCACCAACGATATTGGTTTCCACTAACGGCGTCTAGACGATGGATAGACTCATTTTCTCACTCACGTACAGCTAATCAATTGGTAAAGGAGTCTATCAAACAATGTATTACTGAGCATTGATTTATATAGCAGGCACATTCCTCAAAACAAAGACTGGCGTGTCTTACAAACATCGTCACTGTTTCTGCAATATTGGACAGGGAGTCCCAACTACATGGCCTCGCATGCTGCCTGATATCGCGCGACTTCCATTGATTTCATACCTAGGTAGCAATCGAATCGGTAAAGTGTTCGGCAACGCGACTTATCGCGGCAATCAGATACGGAGTAAGAATGATGCCGGAGTATCCTGTGTAGTCTTCTCGCTATCACGCCAAGCCGGTGTGTTATGGTTGTACCTACCTAGGTAGGTAGTGCATAGATCTCGCACTATATCACGGAACAAAGCTTGGTATCCGTTTCCCAAGCGTGCTCCAGATCGTCGACTTACATAAAATGACTACCGAGATATCCAGACTCACTGTCTCTATCGCTGTAGCGCAACGTTCCGTCCTGTGGTAGCCCAAGCCAGACGAATAATCTGACCCACAGCGGAGGTAATTCCGTTGGAGGATTCGACTTCTTCAAGCGCAACATTCCGCGAAGAACACCGCGAGAGCACCGTCTTCCCGGTTCATATCCTGTAGTTGCAGGGGCTGGGATAGATAACGCTTGTGTATCTGTGTGTCGCTCGACAGAACGTGCAGCACATGGTCATCAACACCTCGCACTAACCGAACTTGGAAGGTACATGCGATGTTCCGCCAGAGGGCATGACGGCGGTACTGCTTCGCGTGTTTGAACGTATCACCACGGTCTATCATCTCATGCCCCCGCTTCCACGCTTCGAGACACGGGCTCGGCAAGATGTGTATGTTTGTAGATAAATTGGCTCGTGTCCCTCCAGACTCGACCACTTCTCTTCTACTCCATCTACGCCACACCAGCTCCGGGTGAAGACAAGATTGTATAGCCTTCCTTCATTCAGACACACACTACACCATGGCCCCTCATCCCTTCAGTATCCTCAACATAGAGGAGACACGCGTTGCGCGTGACACCATCCTCTCCCTCCACAAAGACTGCGTTGTCGATTTTCGGGAGATCTTCCTTCAAGAACCAGCAAAGGAGCTCATGAAACAGTACCTCGAGCTCGAACATGCAGCAAAGCCAGGACAGTCACCAGCTTCAAAGCGACCACCGCGGTTGGCCAAGTGCCAATACGACGTCATCGGCTCAGACAAGATACCAGAGTACCATGAATCTATCATCGATGTTGAGCAGAGGAAGAGAGTACGACATGAGATTGTGGGAAAGGAGAAGCAGGCTGCGTTGACGTTGTGGGAGTTTCAACACCTTGTCAAAGCGTGTGAGGAGAGTGATATGTTTAAGGAAGCTATGGCTGAAATCAAGCTGCCTGATGGGTTTGAGTTGGTCGTTGAGCCTTGGTAAGTACCCGTGTCGACTTCAGTATACCACGTTACTAACGATCATAGGCCATACGGTGGTCTTGACATTGGTGCTGAGAATCGAAGATACTTCCAAGGTCTATGCTTCGCACAGGACATGAGGAACGGCAATGCCGACTCAAACTTCTACGCCTACCCCTTACCACTAATTCCTGTCATGGATGCACAAACAAGGAAGATCATCCGTGTCGATCGCCTCGCTACCGGTGGAAAGGGCGATAGCCTGACAGGCCAAACACACTCCGAGCGCGTTCTGGACCACTGCGAGGGTGCAGAATATGTTCCTGAACTACTGCAAGGTGGTCTTCGACAAGACGTGAAGCCCATCAACATCACACAGCCAGAGGGACCTTCCTTTAGCGTCACAGACGAGTCACTGGTTGAGTGGCAGAAGTGGAGTTTCAGGGTCTCTTTCAACCCCCGTGAAGGAGCTGTGCTGCACGACGTCAAGTATGATGGCAGGAGTATCATGTACCGGATGAGCATCTCTGAGATGTCGGTCCCATATGCTGATGCTCGTCCACCATTCCACCGCAAGCAAGCTTTCGACTTCGGTGACGGAGGCGCTGGAAACTGTGCCAACAACCTGTCCCTGGGCTGCGACTGTCTCGGTGTAATCAAGTACTTCGACGCCGTCGTTATTGGTAACGACGGCGAACCAAAGGTCCATCCTAACGTAGTCTGTCTTCACGAGCAAGACAATGGCATCGGCTGGAAGCACAGTATGTATCCCCACATCAACTTCTCAACCCAAACTAACCCACATAACCAGCCAACTGGCGAACTGGCCGCGCAGTAGTCACCCGACTACGAGAACTCGTCGTCCAATTCATCATCACCCTCGCAAACTACGAATACGTCTTCGCCTATAAGCTCGACACGGCCGGCGGCATTACCCTCGAAGTCCGCGCAACCGGCATCGTCTCCGTCGTGAACATCGACCCAGGCAAGACCTCCGACTACGGAAACGTAGTCTCAGGCGGCATCCTCGCCCAAAACCACCAACACATCTTCGCAGCTCGTATGTCCCATCATGCCCAAAAACATCAACCCATCTCACTAACCACCCACAGGTTTCGACCCCGCAATCGACGGCCACAAAAACACCGTCGTATACGAAGAATCGCACTCGACCCCCATCAACGCAACCACAAACCCCGCCGGCAACTTCTACGAGATCCGCAAAACTGTCATCGACAAATCCACCGGCGTCGACGCAAACCCCTTCGACCACCGCGTCTTCAAGATTATAAACCCCTCCAAGACAAACCCCAAATCAGGGAACCCCGTCGGCTACAAATTCGCACCACTGCCCACGCAGAAGATACTCGCTGCACCAGGCAGCATTCAAGCGCAGCGTGCACTCTTCACGAACCACCATGTATGGGTGACCAAGTACCAAGACGACGAGCTGTATGCTGCAGGACGATTCACGATGCAGAGTCAGTTGGAGGACGGGGGTGTGCATGACATGGCCGCACGCAAAGACGGGGTTGAGAATGAGGATTTGGTAGTTTGGAATGTGTTTGGGTTGACGCATAACCCGCGGGTGGAAGACTGGCCTGTTATGCCTGTGGAGATCTACCAAGTGCATTTCAAGCCGAGTGATTTCTTTGAGAGGAACCCGGCGATTGATGTGCCGAGTACGAAGAATCAGGCGAGTGTGCTGGTGGAGAAGGAGAAGGGATGTTGTGGTGGGGAGCAGAAGCTCTAGTGGTGCTGAGAGGGTTCGTTACTTGTTAGTTGAGATGTATGGAGCATAGTCAATGTATGTCGCACAGTCTTGCATCATTGCCTTGGTGGTTGTGAAAGGGTAAAGCGTGGTTCATGCTATGCTATACTATGATGCGCTGCATCTTTCAAAAGACTAAACCAATCTGATAGTCATCCAATCATCAAGCAGTGGTATACCAAACGCCAAGATACTCCAAAGTCATGTATGTTTGTACACGGGTATTTACATGCCCCAAGCGCCAGTGACAGCATTCAGAGCACCGTCAACAGCCTCCTCCAAGGTCTCAACCCTCAGTCTGAGTGTGCGGTTCTCCTCCCGCTCCTTTGCCAGACGGCCCCAAACAGCGGACTGTGCACCGCCCTGGCAGTTGGCGCATCCCCACCCACCTTTCGCGATGTCGACTTTGCCCTCTTGTTTCTGCTCGTATGTGCTTCCTCGTTTCAAAGGCTGAGGCTTGCGTCCCTTGGGTGTGATGTCGTGGATGTCGGTATCGAGAATGGAGGAGCGGTCGGTACCAGTGGGGCTGAGGCAGCTTCTTGAAAAGACGCTTGCGGCATCAGTCTCGGCTTCAGACTCGAAGCCGGAATCGACACTGATCTCCGAGCCGGATACACGGTTGTGCCGACGAGCGTTCTCCTGGCATGAAGCGTGGTCACACTGTGGTGCGCCTCTGATGAGGGCTAGACTCCTCTTACGAGCCGCCTCTTCCTCTTGACGAGCCTTTCGCTCAAACGCAAGGTCCTCCATGAGGCTTCGCATCTGCTCGTCTTGCTCAGCTGCCTTTGCCGCCATTGTCTCCAGCTGCATCTTCAAATGCCTTGCTCGTGTCTCGGCCTCGTCAAGCTCGTCATCCTGCGCACTTTGTTCGGCATGTGCATCTCCCAACGCGGTGGAGAGTTGGCGGTATGCGGTCTGGTAGCGAGAGAGGAGCGCTTCGGCGTTGGTGAGGAGGTCATGGAAGGACGAGGGTGCTAGTGGATCGGCAGGTCCGTGTGGGAAGAGCGACTGCGAGATGCTCAGGTTGAGAAGCTCATCGTCGGGGTTGTGGTATGTGGGGGATTGCTGTGGAGGGGGTACGGCGGCGTTCTTTTGTGTGGACAGCAGCCATGCGAACTTGCTGCTAGTGGTGGGCTGGCTCGGGGCCTTGCTCGGGGTTTGGGTGTCGTCTGATCGTCTCGGGCTCTGCGACGTGCCCCTCGTAAGGGAAGAACCGCGGTTGAAGAGGTTGGTCATCATGTTGCCCCTCTCCTGTTCCTCCTCCTCGGACTCAGAGTCGTATTCCTCTCCCGACTCAGAACCAGAATCCGAGTATTCGTCTTGCTGTCCGACACCCAGCGTCACGGGTGCAGAGGAGCCGTTGAACCAGTTCTGTAGTGCCCTAATCTTAGGCTGGCTAGCGCTGGACTCGATAGCGCCTCTAGAGGGGATGAAGCTTGCTAAGGACTTTGTAGGTGAAGATGCTCTTGAAGTATGTTGCTGGATTGTCGATGTTGCGCGATTGAAGTTGTCGAAGATGGTGCCAGTCAGCGTTCGCTGGTGAGTTCTGCCAGATCGAGGGAAGTCTTCTAGTGGGGAAGGTGCATGCGGGTCATATGCCGTTGCAGTAGTGGGTGTTAAAGCGGAAGGTGGTGGTTGAAGGCCGGTAATGTCCACGTCGTCGAAGCTGTGCACCTGATCGCCGACCACGGGACTCGAGATCTTTCGACTGTGGTTCGAGCGGTGCGTCGCATAAGGGGCCTGCGGCGGCTGTTGGAGCTCCACGTTGTGAGGGGCGTTGCGGCTCATTCCAAACTACAGCCGCTAAAGGACGTCCGGTGCCGGGATTGCAAGAAGGCACGCTGGTCAGAGGGCGAGAAATGGGTCAGTCGCCCAAGGATCGTCGAGCAGATGGATGTTTACGTGTGAAACGCGAAAGCAACGGTTTCAATGCTGCTGCTAGGCGGGGTTCTGTTGAGGGTAACCCGGCCAACACGGTCAATCTATCGATAACAAGGCGGAACGAGGGTTGTGGGAAGGTAAAGCGGCGGTCAACGAATGTTTGGTGGTAGAATTGGTAAAAGACGCAGTGAAATGTGTCACTGCCGGTATAGTGTACCAGAGAGCAAAAAGAGGGTTCAACGTTTCGTGAGCAAAGGGCGAGGTTTTGTCCTCGAGGGCTGTTTCGCGTGGTTGGCAGGAAACAGCGTGGCAGGGAACTAGATTTTGTGAGGCTGGGACGGTTAGCTCGCCCCGTCATGTACGCAACGCACACCGCAACACGTAGCCGTCGCTTGAAGAGTCCAATGACGCCTTGCCAGACAGAATGCTCTAATGCAAGACAGCCTGTAAGACGTCTTCGACCCTGTTGTCAAGCCGTTCGCTCTGCGTTCGCGTTTCGAAACATTTCATCGTGCAACAGTTAGCGCACGGCCCAGTACGCGTTGAAATGAGCAGGGAAGGCCTATCTGGAGAAGCTCACTCAACAACAGGAGATTCAGCGACTGAGACGCTGGTCGCGTGTATCCTGTGATTGCGGCATCACACGTCTGCTTCCCATTCAGTGGAGTTGCTCGCACTCGCCCACTGCACTTACCCCACAAAACTTCACACCGAATAATCGCGTACCCTTAAAAGTTCACCGCATCTTCTTGTAGCTACACTTTTATTCGAACCGTCTAGCTCTGCACGAGCAGGTGCGCGTCTTCTGACGTGCCCCACCGCTCCGTTCCATCTTCGGGTAGTACCACCCAGGGCGCCTTTTCTCGCAGAAAGATATGCTTCACAACTTTGGGTGCCACTTCCGTCTTAAGGGTCTCCAGATCGACCGTTGCCATGCACAACCCCAGACCGTCGGGATCGGAGCAGTATGACATAGATATCGGAGCTCCGCAGCCCGTGCAAAAGGTACGTTCCGCAACGGTCGATAGTCTTAGGACTGTGCGCGTATCCGCATGCGTGAAGGAGATGCTGTCTTTGGGAACATGTGTAAAGGGCAGAAAGCCTGAGCCTGAGACTTGCTGACATGCGCGACAATGGCACAGTGTGATGTCTGAGGGTGCAGCGCTCGATGTGTATTGCACGCCGCCGCAACGACATCCACCTTTGAAGACAATGTCATCTCGTATAACTTGCGGCACATACCTCGAACCGTCCGCAGCTAGATGACACGTTAGTTTCGTCTGGTTCAGCTCCATGGGTCACTTACGTCTCCGCGCAATACCGAGGAAGACCGAGTCAATCTCCTCAATCTTTCCATCTATCGCCAACTTCTCCCACTCTTCCTTGTAGATCTTTTGTGCTTTCCTCCGAATGTCATTGTTCGCAAACGTTCTCGCAACGTCCTTGACAATCACGTTTTCGACGAAGAAATCGTCCCACTGCTCCATCTCGTACGTACGTCGGCCGTATCCCGCTTGACTCTCTACAGTAACAACTTGGTCTACCTCCACGCCCGCAGACTCCAGCATCTGCTTCAAGGTGTCTTCTGATTTGCTCCATGAACGGTTGTATGGAATGGGAAGTTCCAACCTGCGGGCAACCCTCTCAAGTACCATGCCGGAGACCAAGTTCCTCGGATGTGTCGCATCCATGGCAATGACACCTCCAGGCTTCAGGAACCCTGCCCAATGCTCAATAGCAACTTTTGGATCGGGAAACAAGACTAGAGCAGAAGCCACTGTGATGACATCAAATTGCTTGCCCTTGAGTTCTTCGGTCTCTTCTAAATGCAGGACGTCGCCTTTAAGGAAAGTCGTGTTTGCGTATTTGTCGCCCCCTTGTGTCTTTCGGTGAGTAGCGACCGCGAGCATACCAGGAGTGACATCAACTCCGATAACATGCCCTTGTGGTCCTACCGCCTCGGCCTCGCGGAATGTCAACAGCCCGGTGCCACATGCGAGGTCCAGTATCTGTTGTCCTGGTTGAATATCGAGATAGGATATGAACCGCCTGGTGAAATCGTTGTGCCAGGTAGCGTCGTAATCCCAGGACTTCGAGTCATAGAAGCGGATAGCGTCCGCTGCTTGCCGCTCGCCTGACATTTTGGCCGATTTGAAAGTATCGACGGTTGGAGATGGGAGACCTCTTTTCATATGTACGGTTATGGAGAGCGTTGGGGGGATTGACCAATGAGCGGCGGGCTGCTTTGAAATCTACACTTGCTTTCAATGTGCCCAGTGAGACTCCACCTCTGGTTCCTTCTCTTTTGATTGGAGATGACGAAAATATGACGAACATAGAAACCTGATACTGTTGCGCAGCTTTGCTCAGGTTATAACTTTCTCGAGATTTCGTGGACGCCGCTGAAACTCCCGCGAGGACGCAGGAGGGGTGCCGAAGCCGTGAACCACTAGTGCCAGGGTTTCTGGCAAGCGCGAGCGACTACGGGTCTTTCCCGCTGCTCCAGGGCTCCTTCCACGTTACTATTTTCGGCTTTCATCATCATCATCATCAGGATTCGTTCTCTTCAAACCTTGGAACCGTTCCTCCTACACATGCGATGCGCATCCATACGTAAGCTAGTTTCCATTCTGAACGCGACCTTGAGACAACGCCATATACTCTACTGGGCTAGAGAAAGAGCTTGGAGATGGTGTAACTTCTCGATCTCATTTCACCTCTCGCGAACAGCAACAATAATTAGGACATCGTTGAAGCCCCCCCCCCCCTGATATACGAGATGCATGTATAGCCGTTTCATGTTTGCGATACCAGTGAGGTGGGCTCCTTCCGCAATGGAACAAACACGACAGCTGCTGGTATCACGGAGTTTTGGAGCAGTACCAGGACGCGCGGAGCCGCCCATCCCACGTCTCCTACGGGCTCTTCCACACTGATACTTGGAGGTACAGAGTGCAGTTCTCTTATTTTACAGCCCACGGGGAAGCTCCTGGGCAAGATATATACGATCCAAGTAACAACAAGTCTCCGGATTACTGATCAGAAGCCTGCACATAGTGGAAGTATTGTCGATCATATACTGCCGGGTGGACTTGCATAGCTGACGCACAGGCTAAACGGCACTTCAGCAAGAGCCCCACTGCACCCCGCAACGTGGGGAAGCACAGAGAGCCGCGATCACGGTATTAATTTCTATTCAATGGTCGAGCCAGGGCTTCTAGAGTGCATACGTCTTCTTGCGTCCAATGGACCCTCACGCTGTGACGAGCTCCATTTCGAAGTCCTGGCAAGGCATTCGCTGTGCTGCGCCATGCCCATATGAGTCTACAATACCCGGATTTGAACATAGTTCAGGTGGTCATGTCTCGTTTTGGGGGACACGGCAGGTCAAGGGTGTTATAGTGCGAGGCGATCTTCTCGCGGCTCAAGGGAACTTTTGCACCCCAATCGATGATACTGATTATACAGATCACGAATAGTTTTTCCATCAATGAGCTGTTGACGCATGGGAGGGTTATGCTACTTGCTGAAGGCAGTACAGTAGATGCCTGAATGGATTACATGGGACACGCTGTGATCCGACAATCCGCGCGTTGATCTCAAAGGCACGAATCCAAAAGCTATGTGTGTTATACTACACAAGGCTCTTTTGTATAGCCTTTAGAACACCTACTAGAATAGCGTTTCGCAGATGTAACAGCCGTAAGCCAGTGATATTCGACTACAATGACCTTGCTCCTCGATTGCGTGGGAGCATGAAGAAGACCAGCAGGTGCCAAGGCGTGTCCTTTATTGCAGAGCAGTCACGCTACGAAGCTCACTTTGTCATACTAATGCATCCATATAGTGGCTATATTTCCCCGCGGGAATGCGGAATGCATGTGGAGGATATCGTCACTATATAAGAGACGGAAGCCCGTCCGCAATCATTAGTGTTGGTCCTTCAGTGTTCAGAATACATCAAGCCGCCCAACATGAAATACTCACTCGTCCTTCCGCTACTCGCCACAACCGTTCTTGCGGCACCGGCCACTGAGAAACGCCAGGACGCGACATGCACTGTCCCAACAACTTTTCCCACCACCGCCAACTCCAAGTTGCCGAACCCCTTCAAGTTCTTCGACGGAAGGGCTGTTACAACGAAAGCCGATTTCGCATGCAAGAACAAAGAGGTTAGCGCTGCCATTCAGGCACAGGAACTCGGTGACTTCCCCAAGAAGCCATCAAGTGTTACTGCTACCTTCTCTGGTTCCTCTCTCTCCATCACCTCGACCGAGGGAGGGAAGTCAGTTTCTTTCTCGGTCTCCATCAAGAAGCCTAGCGGGACCGGTCCTTTCCCAGCCATCATCGCATATGGTGCTGCCAGTATCCCAGTCCCCAGCAATGTCGCCACGATCACTTTCAATAACGACGATATCGCTCAGCAACAGGGCGGCAACAGCCGTGGAAAAGGCAAGTTCTTCGACCTGTACGGGTCCAGCCACAGTGCTGGTGCTCTCACTGCCTGGGCATGGGGCGTGGACCGTATCATGGATGCTCTTGAGGCTACTCCCAGTGTTGGCATCGACCCCAAACGCGTTGGTGTGACTGGATGTTCTCGTAACGGAAAGGGGGCTTTCGTCGCCGCTGCGCTTGTTGACCGTATTGCTCTGGGTCTACCTCAGGAGTCTGGCTCCGGTGGTGCCGCCTGCTGGCGCATTTCTGATTCTGAGAAGGCCAAGGGAAAGAACATTCAGACCTCCAGCCAGATCGTTGGCGAAAATGTGTGGTTCTCCACGAGGTTCAACTCCTTCAGCACCAAGTCCAACACCCTTGCTACGGACCATCATCAGCTCGCTGGTATGGTCGCTCCTCGTGGTCTGCTGGTCATCGAGAACGAGATTGACTGGCTCGGTCCGGTTGCTACTACTGCTTGCATGAAGGCCGGTCGTCTCATCTACAAGGCTCTCGGTGTGCCGGACAACATGGGCTTTACTGGCTCTGGCAACCACAACCACTGTTCGTTCCCATCCAATCAGCAGGCTGATCTTACTGCGTTCATCAACAAATTTCTGCTCAACCAGACCTCGAACACGGCCAACATCGAGAAGGGCCCGTCTGGTGCCGATGCTGCGACGTACATTGACTGGACTGCACCTACACTCACTTAGGACCTGGGTTTAATCTTGGGAATCTTGGAAAACAGCGAACTTGACCTGGGCTTGGATATGTACATAGTTGGCAATGAGTTCGTAGCTGAATGACATCCATGGCTCTTTGCCAAGATTGTAGCATCTTTAGATTGCCTTGGTCGCAGAACCCTGCCCAGTCTGAACCTGGAACCAACATGATAACGCATGGACTAGATGAATGCGCTGATCAAAAAGCAAATTTCTTCAGACACTAGAGATTGAAGAAGAGATGTTGTCAGCTACCTCGCCTTTCGTTTATATGTGTACGCAGTCGAGCGTCGTTGCAGATGGCTAAACGGGGCGATGGGAGCCTCACACCGTCGTTCAGCGCAAATCCAGATTTCTCACCACCAAGTCCTTTTTCGCTGATAGAGCCGCTAGGCAGGCATAGGGATAAAATAAGGCGCCTCCGTTCACAATTTGGGCATGTCTGACCGAAATTGACATTGGGAACAGGCCAGGGAAGGAATGAAGGGGGGTTTGATGTTCGCTGGACTGTGGTAGCAGGTTTAGAGGGGTCGTGGACGTGGCACCCACTCCACTCGTTCCTCCGCCTCCGATGCGGTGGCTTATTCGGCACTAGTCCACGTCAAGCGCGTTGTTTATCTGTCTACCCCACAACCACTGCTTCAGTGAACGTGAATGAAGATGACTTGAATAGGAGTGAAAGTAACGCTGCAGGACGACCACCACGCGCTGATTGGCCACAGCCCCAATTGAGCCATCACATGATTGCCAAGCCGCTAACTCGATTGCGACGCAACAACGCTCCAGGCTAGAGGACGTCCCAGCCCGCCGCAGCAGACGTTCAACACCACTCCCGATATCACTCCCAGTTGCGCCCGCATCTCAATATCCCCGCAACACGCTGTCCACGACGCGTATAGCGGTTTCCATCGCTTTTAGAGCGCGCCCGCGCCATCGCCACCTCCCACACCGAAATTGCGCGCACCCCCTTCAGCCTCACCACACAACGCGACTCTGCCAACGGCGCTCCCCCGAAGGTCTTTCATCGGCTTCATCAACACAACGGCCGCCACCACCACGACGCCGCACGATAATGTTATAGAATCGCTGCACGCGCCACCATACCTCCCGCGACTGTCCTTCCCTCATAATTGCGCGATTGCCGCCTAGCTCGACCCGCGACCGCGTCGACAGCGGACATCTCGTATCTTGGCTATTCACCGCGCATCACACCCATTATACTGAACCACCACCACCACCATGGCGTCGGTTCAGGCCAATCCAGAAATGCCTGGGCAGGGTCCCCTCGCTGCCAACATTACGCGCGAGCAGATTCAGCATGTCTTCCAGGTACGTACTGGTGCTTTGCCGCGTGTGCCTTTGCGCCCTCTGCAATTACCCTTGCCCACGAAGCTCACTAACACTGTCTTTAGCGCTATACCCAGATGAAGCAACAAGGCGTCCCCGAGACCAACCCCGAGTTCATCAAGGCGCGCAATCTTCTCACCATGGTGCAGAAGCAAAATCAGTTCCAGCAACAGCAGAAGATGCTACGGCAACAGCAAATGCAGCGCCAACAAGGCCAGATGGATTCCCAAGCCGCACAACAGAACGGCGCTGGCATGGCCATGCCTAACGGCAACAAGCCAGCTGCTTCCGCTGAGGGCAAAGTCGCTACGCCTGCGCCTGCGCCTGCTTCGAGCGGACCTTCATCTACCATCCAGACTGCGACTGCTGGCGGGCAAGCTCCTCATGGCGACGGTCAGACCCCCACATCGGCGACTGCTGGTTCAATGCCGCTGAATAAAGATCAACTCCTCATGCTGCGCGCCCAGATTGGGGCTTTCAAGCATCTATCCAAGGGTCTCCCATTACCCTCTAATATGCAGCAGCAGATCTTCGGTCACCACCAAGCTAAGAAGCCCCAGAACGCTGCCGAGGCGGTTGCTGCCGCTTCTCAGATGCTCGACAATGCCACCCGTGCAGGCAGCGCCTCGAGCGCAAACGGCGGTGCAGTACAGGAAACCCGGACTCTACCTCGTCTCCCTGATACCTTTATCGATCCTTGGAGCAGCGAAGCCTTCCGCGATGTGAACTACATCTCCCACACCCAGCGCAAGAACCGACCATACCTCGCAACCATTATGCCTCAGGGCGTTGACATGGATGCGGTCCAGCAGAGCATGGAAGATATACGCAAGGAGCGTGAAATCCTCCTCTACAACCGCCTCACCGCGAGGAGAGCCGAACTAGAGAAGGTCCACGCAAACATTGGCTCTTGGGATACCAGCAAGACCGATACA